TTCTTAGTAAGAAATTTGTGTATTTTACGTTTTTTCTTCTGCTCCAAAAATGGTCAGAATGATCGACGGAGAGAGTGGCTGAATATAGTATGTTTTTTTGATAATAATTTATATTATATACTTTATTTATAATTAATAACTAATTAATTTTATAAAAATTGATCTACATCTTGCATATTGTTTACATTTTTTAGCCAATTAAATCAAATATCTGCTATGCTAGCTTTGTATATTTATTTTGTTGTTTATTGCTTTTTAGATATAGTTAAGATGTGTTTGATTAATTTAATAGACTATAAAAAGAAAGTGTGATAAGTTTTGTATATAATAAATATTAAATATTTTTCTTATATAAGTTTTTTAAGTGTTTTGATTTATAAGGATTCTAATATACTTGATAGTTAATAGTCGAAAGTATAGCTATATAATTTTTTGATTTGATTTATATCTCTGTTTTTATTTTCTTTTTTTGTATAAAGGCAAATAAATAAGGGTAATAAAGTAAAGGATCTACTATTTCCACCATGTTAATTTGCTATTTTCACCATGATAATTATATAAAATAACAATCATGACTAACATTACAAAATGTGATTCACTCTAATCCTAATTCTAATTCTGGCCGTATAGTGGAAATAGCAAATTAATATAGTGAAAATAGTAGTTTCCTAAAGTAATGCATATTTAGTTAGCATAATCATTTATTATTAATTAAATTGATTAAAGAATTTTATATATTGAAATAGAGTTTTATATTTTATTGTAAGTATTATAAGAATTTATTATGTTCTAGTTGTTGTAGTTTATTAGAAATGCATTATGTTCTTTAGTTTATTTAACTAATAAATAAGACAATATTATTTATTCACATGTATTTATTTTTGATTTATTATTAAATAAGATCATATTAGTAATTTAACTTTTAATGTATAAGATATATAGTAAAATATCAATCTTAATATTATTATAAAAGGTAACATTTTAATGATATAGATAATTTTTTTTTTATGTATTTGATTTAGTTGATAATAAATAGTAGGTAGATAGTAAGTAATTTTAAAATTTAGATTACATAGAGTGCTAATGATATTACTTAGTTATTTTAGTAAAATGATTTTTAATTAAAAAAAAAAGTTTAAATACGAATTCAAGTATATAATGTATATTTATTTGTTATATATAATATATGTATATGTATATATATTTGTATATATATATATATAAGATAATAATAATAGATGATAAAAAAGGGTTACATATTTTATCAACAAATAATAAACTACTTAAAAAAGAAGTATTTCGTATGTTAATGAGCTTAATAAAAAGAAAGTAGTTATTTATTCAGTAGTAGCTTAATTAGATATACTTGGGTTAGTAGCTTGATCAGATATTCTTAAGTTAGTAGCTTGAGTAGACATGCTTGAGTTGATAGCTTGATTAGACATACTTGGATCAGTAGTTTGATTGAATATACTTGAATCTAAAGTATTATTTAAAATATTACTTGTCAAGTTAGTTACTTTTAAACAAGGTTTGACTCTGAGGTATAGTTTTGAAGCAATTAGAGTTTTTTTTTGTCTAGTATTTTTATTGACTCTAGCAGCTATAGTCTTAGAAATAGTAGTTTGTGAATTCATATTGTCTTGATTGTTAGATTCTCATAAGAATTGAGTTTGATTATTATTAATGACTGCATCTAATTTGAGGTATTCTGAAAATGAAAGATTTCATATATGAACTATGATATTATTATTAGTTAATATGAGTTCTCTATTGATATGAAGTACTGAATATTTTTTTACAATAGTAGTTACATTTATCAAACATTATGTAGAAGTAAGGTAATAACATATTATTTCAATATTAACGTAATCTTGATCTATATAATTTCTAACTGAAACATTTATGATTATATCTTCATTCTCAATTTTTAGATCTTCTTAAACTAATACAGTTATATTGATTAAAAGCAGACAAGTCATTAGGATTAATAGTGTTCAATCAAATGATATTGTTTAGGACAATCTTTGAATTTATATTTATTATTATTATTGTTATTATTACAAAAAAAAAAAAAAGGTTAATTAGAATTTTTTATTTAATTTTGTTAATATAGTTATTTTTATTTCTTTATTATTTTTATTTTATTTTTTTAATTTTTAATTTTTTAATTTTTTATTTATTTATATTTTTATTTATTATTATTATTATTTATTTTATAAAAAAAAAAAATTAATTACTTTTAAAATTGAGAATTTTTTATTATCTTTGTCTATATCTTCAATGATGCAAAAATTTCTAGTAGCAAATACTATATCTTTATTTTTGAATTCAGATAAATTCAATTCTTCAATCACATTATGGGAATAAAATCTAGTTAAGATTATATTTAAAGATGAGTTTAAACTTCAAGACCTTATAATATCTGAAGCTTTGACAATAGAAAGGTTTTTATTTGCAATAGTTCTTTTACAGTAACTCATTATATAATATAGTATTGTGATAGAAGCTAGCATTTTTAATTTTTATTTTATTTTTGTTTTTTTTTAAACAATTTAAAAATAAATAAATAACTGTTGCAAGAAGGAAAAAAATGAATTTTTTTTTTTTATATTTTTTTTTTTAAAAAAAAAAAAATATCAAATTGATATTATTTATTATCAATAAATATATAAATTCAAAAAAAAGAAATAGAAAAATTGAAGGTTTTAAATCTATAAAAATTTTTTTTGAATATCTAGCTTATTTTAAGTAAATTTATTATTTTTTTTATTTAATTTTTTTTTATATAAAAAAAAAATTATTAATTCTCTTTTTTATTATTATCATTATTATTAGTGTATAAATAATAATAAAAAAAGAAAGAAAACTCGTATTTATGTGTTATTCTTGATCTTAGCATCTATTTTTTTTTAAAGAAATGAAATAAGTAATATGATTTTTTTTTCTATATAAATTGAATAATACTTGTGAATATTATTTTGAAAATTGAGTTTTTCAAAAATAAAATTAGTAATTCTAAATTAATACTTACGAGTATCTTGAATTAATATGCATCCTATCAAAATTTAAATTTTATCATGTGATAATAAATACTTTGTTAGATTAGTGAATTAATCTTTATTTTAAAATGATAATGAATATGAGATATCTAAAATAATGTGCAGATAGTATTATTTCAAGTTTATGCAGTAATAACATTATTTTTAAAGGATCTGTTTATTGGAATTATATTACATTTGTTATTTGAGTTTTTGTTTCACATGTAATTTAAGTGTAATAAGTTCTAGTAAGGTTTTTGTTTTTATTTTATTTTATTTTTATCAAAATAAGAATTTTAGCAGAGTTCTTGGCATACAGTCATGAGATTGAATAGTCTTTCTTAATTAAATAAAATAATTAATATTAATTAAGTAGTTTTTTGATGAGCATAAAAAGCTAATGTTTAAGTTACAGAGTGTTAGTATGTATTACGTATTGTGTAATTAATTAAATACTAAATTGAATGCAGTTATATACATATATAGTTTAACAACTACAAATGAAATTACGTAGTAGGTCATAAAGTGTCTATATGCACAATTAATCAAATACTAAATCAAAAAAAAGTTATAGTCATTTATGTATATATCAATTTTTTGAATTTAGAAAAGATTATTGAATCCTTTTCATTACAAATATTTATTACAGTTTTTAATGATTAATGATTATTAATTCATCTACTCAGTAAATTATCCAGTAGAGAAAAATAAAAAATATGAAATATTCTTTTACAAGCCTAAACAAAAGGTTAATATAAGGGTCAAAGTGAAATATTTTAGTAATGCTTTTTTTTTTTTTTTTTTTTATAAAAAAAAAAAAAAAAGAAAAAATTGAAA